GGGGGGGGGGGAGGAGAGAAATTAATCTCTTCAGCAGAATTATTATATTCAAACCTAACAGATGCCTTTAGGACAAAAAGAGCTGAGATGCAGGCAAGGTGGAAGAAGCCGGGGCACAGATGTAAGCACCAGATTACTCTTTACAACAGTAAACAAGTACTTATTGAAGAATCATCACCAGTTATTCGCAACAGTGAACAAGAAAACAAACCCGTCCGTTCCTTCAATGTTCACAGCTACGGACTGGATTTTAGATTAATAGGGTGAGTGGAAGGATTAAATAGCCTAAAAGTGTTAGTCTTTTTCTTTCACACCAGCCAAAGCAGACCCTCAGCCAACACCTTCCTCCCTTGGTCATCTCCACATCTCCTTGTGGCACGCTGCTTTTACATACGTACATCACTGGCTGTCTTCAGCTATAGGATATTCTTTGGCAACTTAACGCAATATTGAGCAGACTCTGTCTTCACCACCATATGTTTGGCTGCAGAAATATCATATACAAATAAACCACATTTGGTAATACAGTACCCTCACCCGAAGAAAATAATCGAAACCCCATTAGTCTATATGCTCAGCCAGCTGACTGGGGAGGTTTTCCCGCCTCGGGCTCTAACGTCTGGACAAAAAGCTATTAATAAATATGAAAGCTTTAATGAATCTAAAGGGAAATAAAACCAGGCAGGTTAAGGCCCAGTGTCCAGCCAAGACCAGGGCATTTACAAACCCGCCCAACCTGACACTAATCGGCCAGGCCGGGCTCCCAAAGACGTGCTCTCCCCGTCTAGACTTCTAATCCATCAATGGGAAAAGACATCTCATATTATTTCTGCCTGGTTCATCAACACTGTAAGAACACATCCAACTGCCTCAGCAGCTCACATACACAACACAAAAACAGACACCACTTTGTTAGACGCGTTCAAGTGGGGCAGACAGGAAAAAGATACAGTTCGACAGTGATGGATTTTAATTATTGTGACCAAATGGAAATTAAATACCCGTATGTGATGCTGTAACGCAAATAAATACCTCCTGACTTGTTTTAAGGACAGCTAAGTAACTCCTATCTTCCCCTCCTCAGTCCAAACTAATGGTCACTTTAAATGCAAGAAAACTCCCAAAACCCCACAAAATACAGACTGGACTCCTAGCAAGCACATTTTTAAGTTTTCAGTACACATGTTGACCGTGCCTGCAATTTTAACCAGCAGGACCTAACCTATTGTTTCATTTTTAAGGGACTCCACATGTTCACAATTGCTTGAGCTACTTTTGTCAAACTACATTTTAATTTAATAAACTGAATAAATTAAGTATGAGTTGAGATAATGAATAACTCATTGTCGTACTCGAGGCCTACATCACACACTATATTTATATTTGTCTGTACAGTGGAAGGACAAGCACAGACTTGTTTGTGATCCTCAAGTCCAGTATTTGAGTAGCTGCTATATTTTGCTATACTACTATTTTCATTGACGATGCAGTTTGAAGACTGAAACCCTTTTTTTAAAAAAACAAAAACCACACACAATCAACCAAAAAGATCCATCCGCTATGCACAAACATGTAGGAGAAAAGAGGTGGAGAGGAAACAATACGGAAGAGTACTGATTTAGATGTGCTGAACCCTTTGGGAAGCAAAGGAGGAATTGAACACGCCAACCTGCCAGCACACACCACTGGCACAGCAGGGGAAGAAGGGAGGAAGAGGAGGAAAGGCAGAAAAGAGGAAGCTCTCTTCTGCACGTTACACCTAGTTCTGTTAACAACAGAGCCCTGCCATTTCCACAACCTCTCCCACTGCTCCTCGGTCACCAGCACACAGCATCCACTGAACAGAACAGCAACTACAGAAGGAGACTTTCCACTGTTTACTCCAAGTGCAGCATGCACCACGTCCCTGGCAATGCTCCGCATCCTTGCTGCTCAAAAACAACCACCACATCTACACGGAGATGCAAATTAACAATAAACTCCAGCCTCAAATGAAGACTGCTTGATCACAATACAGAAACACAAAATTTATAGTGGTCCAGACAAAAGACTTGAAGGTACCAAGGAAAAGGCTTTCTTATAAAAAATAACCTCATCTTCAAATACTGCATTTCAACAGTATGACCTGCAGGGAACAGATGCTGCCTGAAAGCAGCAGGGAAGCCCCAGCCTGGTGCAGGAGCAGGTAGCCAGGAGGAATCCTGGCGCGGAGGTGAGGAATGTCTGTGGCAGGACCAGGAGACAGGGCTGCAAGGTGCTGGCAAAGCCTCTGCTGGTCGCAGGCACCAGGCGAGCCACTCAGGCCGGCAAAACGCTGCATTCCTTTGTACCAAACGTGGGCTCATCGACTTCACCTGAATCACAGAAGCAGCCTTCATCTAAAAGCCTAACACACGCACTCTCTTTTCTTGAAAAGAAAACCCATAATAAAAGCAGAGGTTTTTCTTAGTAGCCATTTTGTCTTCAACTTGGACGTGATACCTAATCTGAATGCAATGTAAACATGCCCTCTGAGGCTCGTTTCCAAACAGCACGTTCATGGAAATAGAAGAAAATATAAAAAGGCCATCACTAAATACCATAATTAAATTAGGAGGGTGTGAAGATTTCATGATCTAAACAGACAGGAAATTTTGCAGCTCACGTTCCTTCTCTAGGTCACATTGCAGAAAAAAAAAAACCAACAAACAACAAAACAAAAGGTAGCAAGTGTGGATTAAGGACAGTAAATTATTATTTACTGTTTAAATTGAAACCAAACAAACAGCAACCAAACAATAAATGCAATTTCAGTATGCCATACAATAAAAGAATTTGAAGGTAAAATTATATTTCAATTTCTTTCTTTTCCATCAGTTCACACCACAAACCTAACTACAGTTTGAAGGAATACACAAGCTAGATCAGTATGCTTTTATTAGTATATGTATATCAATATATATGGTGTATATATATATATATATAAAGGAAAACATTATATATGAGTAACCTGTATTTCCAACTCTCAACTTTCACAATACTTTATCAGTCCCCTCAGCCAAAAGTGGCTTTTAAAAACATACAAACGCTGCAGGTGACAGCCTCTGGCAGATATTATTTTTTTAAAAATCCAAAATGTTTCATTTGCAGGGCAAGGTAAACACTTTTTTTCCCCCAAAAAAGCACACAAAATAAATATTCAGTAAAACGCTGGCTTACTATGAGTACTGTTTTAATCTTTAGGGGAAAAAAAAAAAAAAACAAAACAACAACAAAACCCAACAAGAAGCTGGATTCCTGTGCAGGAACTTGCAAACCATCGTCACAAGTTTCAGCCAAAATTGCATTTCAATTGCCAGACTGGAAACTCGGAAGCACAGAGGTTTACGGGGAGGCTGGGAAATGCGCCCTTACTGCAAGGCTCTGCATTCCCCGCTGCGGCACCGCTCCGTGCTGGGGGGCTCCTCCGAGCCTTCCAAAACACAGACGGGAAGCCAGAGGGGCCGCCTAAGTCGCCGAGTCATTAAAACGCCTTCGGCAGGTGAGATCGCGCCCCCCCGGCCGGGCAGAGCCGCTCCG